ACACATTCAGGTGTTTGTTTTAATACTTTGTCTGTTTGCAGCTGTAGATTTCTCCTAAATTCAGCAAAAGTTAGCATAATTTGCATAATTTGTTATATAAAAAACAAGTTTCTATGTACGTAATCAAATGGGGAAGTTCAATGTCAATATATATTAGTTACTTTTTAAAATTCATCTGTAGTGTCTTCAAAATTTGTGGAATTCTACATATATATTTCTCAAAAGCTTTTCTTTCTTCGACCCAAAGCCAGACATCTCCACTTCAGTAACGTCAACATACACCAAACCTTCCAGTTTCACTCCTCTCTATATAGAAGGTCTTTACTGAGGGCTTTGTTCATATATCATTCATAGCCTGATTCATAGAACATTTGATTTCCTAAGAAAATGGCAAAAATGTATATCTTTTGACAACATTTTCAGATTTATGGAAAGATACAAAGAGACATCCAAAATTCCCGCTGTAGAAACCTTTGACTCTAATATGTCGACAAAATGAAACAAGAATTTTGAACTTTGAACCAATTTTCACATTTCTGTATATGTATATCACCCTATATTTAATAAGATGATGCCTCATTTGCATATTTAGCTTGCGTAATATTTTCCGACACAAAAAAAGTGTCTTAATGTTAGGAATCAACTGGGGAAGTTGGTAGTGATCTCCTGGTCACATTTCTTTGTCATCTGGTTGTGTCTTCCTTTTATGGCATGGTCACATGACACTTTCTTTGCCTTGCATTACAAAGTGGATGGAGTAGTAGACCATTCTTCTGCTTTTCCTTCTTCTTCTTGCAGCATTGGTTCATTTTACGTCAGGACTCAGTCATCATCTGTTGACTTCTGTTTTTTACGTATTGTTTTTTCCCCGCTTTATTTGATCCCGAACACAAGCTGAACAGAGTCAGTCGCTATTTGCAGAAGGGGGATGCTGATGGAGGCAATGTTGTGCATGTGCAATCATCCAGGCTCGTTCCTAGACGCTTGATTTAGTCCTCGCAGCTTTATTGATTACCGCACGATGGCCACTGAAGCTGGTGTTAAATCGCACGTAGTCACCGTTAACTTTAAAAAAGAGCTCGTTAATGTTATAATCCCACTTGTTCATCCCATCACTCCCGCTCTCTTTTATTCGTTCTCTGTCATCTCCGCAACCCTCCTCACTCATCCGAGTGGAACATCCCCCCCCTGGTCGTTTTCTAATTGACGCGTGTTGCGTAACAAGGGCCAGTGTGAATGCACTCTCACATTTGACTAATACCCACTGACACAAATCAAGATCTGATTACTCACATGCACAGAGCAGAGAATGGGCCCTGTGCTCGTGACGTCGTTAATGTTTCATTCCTTCACTCCTTCCTCTTGTTCCGCTTCTAAATCATGCATGTGAGTACGCTTGTAATGCACGTCTTCGTCCACACTCCCCCCGCCAATCTTTAAACTCATCTTGCTATTTTCTAGAAGTCATCTCGTCGTCCTGCGTCGTCGGACTGTGGACTGGACGCTTAATTTCAAGGGATTATAATCCGCTCGTCCCTGAACCGCAGCGACAAGCGCGTCATATTTAACTACGAATCCTTGGCGGAGGCAGGGAGCCCGAGAGAGAGAGAGAGAGAATTTAGGGAATGTTGGTTGAAATAATGCGCTACATGATTCACATGGATGCCATCCACACATGAATAATTCATTCTTGCAGTATTCCCCCCCCCCCTCCCCCCAACCTCATCTCTGCTCTGACTGTTTCTCTCTTCCTTTTTCTTTCTTTGCTCTTCAACTCTTCTATTGTGTGTTCATGCTCTCACTCTTCCACTTAATCTCTCGCACGCTTATCTTTAAGAGTTTGGCTTCAGATGTGATGGGGGGGTAGTGTGTTAGGAAAGTATCAGAATTCATTTTTTTTCGATCAAATCCTTTCATTTTTCAAAACTTGGAGCTTAAATTGAGCATACAAACAAAATCATCGGTATTTACATAACTCCGCAATACTGGATATGGATCACAAGCACACAACGTGGTCATCTTATTTATCCACAAACATCATGACGGTCATTAACCGCTCTTATTCCAGTCGATCAGTCGACTAATCGGCCGTTTTTAGTCTTAGTCGACTACGGTTTCTTTAGTCGATTAGTCATTTTCTTGCTTTTTCAAGCTTTTTCATGCCTAATGACTTATGTCCAATAAGGGTGTGTTGATTTTGAAACCTGATATATAAATAAAATAGTAGAACGAACCTTCCCATTCAAATCAACAAAACAGGATAGTCAGAGCGATGGCCATTTTTATGTGTATTGTGGAAATTGCGACCATTGTAGCGAGCTAACTTACAGATACAGTAAACTAAACCGACTTGCGGCAAGAAGGAAAGTCTTTGAGGTGAGGTTTTGCAGTACTGACTAAAACGAGCAGTGGAGTAGTTGCGTTACAAAGCGAAGAGCACCAGAGTAAATGAGTAAAAACAATGTAATGCTTCATCCACTCACTCTTGTCACAGCGTAGAAAAGCACATTGCTATCGCCAGATGGGCGTCAACCTTGTTCGCCACATTTTCTCTAACCAATTAAAGCATGGTGGAATTAGCAAGCCAACTAGCCAGCTAGTTAACTAGCGGAACGCTGGCTAGCTAGCTAGCTTGCCAACAGCGGGCTGATGTCCAGCAGCAGCGCTGGGTCTAACACAGGCGGCAACCTCCGGTTCTGCCGAGTAAAGCCGATGTGGAAGTGTCTTAAAACTTGCATTATCTCTACTGACCATCAGGGGGCGACTCCTCCGGTTGCAAAAAGTTGTAGTATTGTATAGAAGTCTATGAGAAAAACTTCTTACTGGATTTATTACCTCAGTAAACATGAGTTTATGGTCTCAATCTCTAGTTTTAAGTCTTCTTCAATACAGCATGATGTTCACTTAGTACATTTAGTATAATTTGGCAGCGGCAAAATCGCCAAACTTGAGGCTTCAAAACGACAAACCAGTGGGTGACATCACAATGATTAAGTCCACTTCTTATACCCAGTCTATGGTCCCTCCGCCTCACCCCTCACTGTTCTGGAGAAGGGCAACCTAGCTAACTAACTTGTCAGCCATCCGTCTGGAGCTGCATTTGCTCGCTCTCTTCTCAGCAAACACTTAACGGCCCCACTGACATGTTTTTGTCGCCATATCAACAAACATTTTCTTTTGTACTAGTCAAATGACCACGGCAAACAGTTTAAAAGGCGTTCTACTTCTATTCTATTTCTATGGAGGGACCTTATGATTGACCGTCTCAAGAGGCCAAACAAACATTCACAGAATGAGCATTCACATTGGACAAAAAGGGCACCGAGGCCAAACAGACACCACGTTACAGCTCGGCCCGAGGCAAAGCGTTCAAGAGCACTCGTCCACTAGCGACGGCACAGTACCATTATATCACATCGTGTGGTGTACACATGCTTAAACCCTCCACAGTCCCCATGGAAACGGCCGCTATGCCGTCTTTAATTGGCCCACAAACGTTTGTCCACAGTGCGACGGTGCCCCCTTACACCTCTGATTTGAAGCTGCTGATTAAACGCCCTCCGCTTTGATTTCATGCTCGTACTAGTGTTTGGAGGGTTGCCATGGAGCACCCAGTAGGGTTGTGTTTCGCTAATGAAAGAAGGCACTCGGCCGGGCACGCACTTCACAGTCACTGCTGCACCGACTGGGCCCCTGCATGTTATTACCTCATTAGACTTGGCTCGGAAAAAAAGCCCAGTAGCACAAGCCTTGGCTGAAACGTGATCATTTGAATCTCTTTGGCTCCGTCTTTCTCCGATTCTCTTTCTGTCCAGTAGTTCTTTCACTTTCTCCTGCTTTCCTCAGACACCAGTGCATCGCCCACCGTCACCGCGGGGGGGGGGGGGTAAATGGGGGTTTATGTCAAATGTGGAAAGAGGAAGAACAAGGTTTATGAGTTTTTCTGGGATCGAGTCAGCGTTTAAGTGGATCCCACTACTGCCTCAGCAGAGCACGGAAACTGTTGGGATGATTTAAGATGAAGCGCATTTCTCTATGGTAGATAGTTATTCATTTAGGGAGCTGTGTTTTAGTCCGTGCCAGCTTCTCTGAGTTCTGTAGGCTGTCGTACAGATGAGTCCATTAAGGGGTCATCAGTCTGCAGAGGCGCCGCTGTTCAGACTCACAGGGAGTGGATTGAGCACAGTCGTCTGACCAAAACTGCCAATATCCAACAACAGCAGCTGCTATTTTAGCTCTAGACCGCAGTGAGTTTACATCTCCATGCGGCCACAAGCAGGGAGCCCATGCTTAATAAAACAGATGATGATTAAGTCTAATTAGATTTGTTTGCCCTGAGATCATTAGTAATGCACAGAGTGAGTGCAGCTAGTGGTCAAAATGATTCCTCTGTGTACAGCTGTGTTATGTTACAACTCTGAGTTTATTGTCCTCCTCCCTTGTGTGAGCTACCTGTGCAGAATATTTGATAGCATTTAATTTATTTTCCAAAGATATAAAACTACTGAATTATGTATTATTAATAATAAATCGCACACCAGCAATTTAGTAAAAAATCTACATTGACACAAAAAGAACAGGAATATAGTATTCAAGTGTAAACCTTTTCTTAATGCAGCAACAAATGGGCCAAAACTTACAAATGTAGAAACGTGGAATTGAATGGAAAAGATCGGCTCCATTTGAACCAATACCTGATCCGCTTATTTAAGTCAGCATCAGCCCGATATCAGTGTTGGGCAATGTGTTGGTAATAACCATTGGTAATAACAACAGTGAGAGTCTTCAGACGCGCTAGCAGCTCTTTGTACATACATCATACATCCATGCTTCGAGCTAAAATGCTAACGCACAAAACACGCTAACACGCTTGTAATGACAATCTTGACACCCTTATGTTTTAAATTAAAACATGTAACAAATGCTATTCTGTGCATGTAAAGAAAAACAACACTAAAGTTTTTAAACCGGCAGTTCTGTGTTTTCTTTTGTGTGCGCAGATTCTTGTCGGAGAGCTGTGCGCCTTCTTCACCAAAGCAGAGGGAACCCAGGAGAAGACCATTGTCACTGCAGACTGCTGCTACTTCAACCCCCTGCTGAGACGCATGATACGCTTTCTAGGTGAACACGCTGTTTTGTATCACTCAGCCCCCTTCTGCTCTTTACAGGCAAGGAAAGGGCACTCTGCCGTCTAGGTGTCAGGTTTTTTCACAGGGAGAGCGAGAGGCGAAATCAAACAGATCAAAACAACATGGAAGAAAAAGGTTATCAGAACGTGACCTGCTACACTTGAGAGTTTGTCAACCAGAACTTGTGCTTGTAGCTGTTAATTGGACGATTGGATGAGGTGAGATATTCAGGATCACGGCAAGAAGACACTTGTGAATATTAAGCAGCCTGCTAATTTCAGCTGAGGTGGAAGCTTCTTCTTGCGATTTCACACCTCAGCTGATAATAATGTGTTGGGGCTATTTCAGGAAGGGAAAAGTTTTATCTCGCAGCGCTGTTAACATGTCTTGAAATCTTTCAAACATCTAACTTGCTTTTCTTCATCTCCTTCAACCCTCCATCGGCGCTCGTCTCCTGGCCCAGGTGTCTACGCCTTCGGCCTGTTCACCACCACCATCTTCGTCAACGCTGGCCAGGTGGTGACAGGAAACCAGACGCCCCACTTCCTGTCCGCCTGCCGGCCAAACTACACTGCGCTGGGCTGCCAGTCCACCATGCAGTACATCGCGGAGCGGCGCGCCTGCACAGGCAACCCGCTGATCGTCATGTCCGCGCGAAAATCCTTCCCGTCCAAGGACGCGGCGCTGAGTGTCTACTCTGCCGTGTACACAGTGGTAGGTTGGAGCCCGCTGGAGGTGATGCTTTGCGCTTCTGAGGGCTAATCCCGCACCGATGTTTTCACGTTTTCACTTTATTCTATGGGATTGAAGTGCAAAACTTTTCTTGCTGAGAATCCAGCAATGTTGAGTGTTAGTGAAGCAGATCGATACCAAATTTGATACCATAATGAGGTTTGATACCAAACCTCATTATGTTAATGAACTGAAGTCATAAAGACTATTGAAGTATTGACTTTGCTAATGTTGAAACATTTTCAAATCGTGAGGAACACTTCTTTACCTTTATTCGTGCCAGCTAGATCAAAAAGTGTCTCCAGTATCCACCCTCATCTTTGTGTTTACTTCATAAGCAATTTCTCTCAAAATTCCATTTGTGTCCAGTCAAGAAGAATAAGTTAGTTTTCTTTGCTTTTGAAAAATCCAATGAGGTTATAACGACGCATATGTCCTGCCGTGTGCCTCTCTGCAGATGTACGTGACGCTGGTGTTCAAGACCAAAGGCACGCGGCTGACCAAGCCCACCATCAGCCTCACCCTGCTCTGCCTGGCCATGCTGGTAGGCGTGGTCAGGGTGGCCGAGTACCGCAACCACTGGGCCGACGTCCTGGCGGGATTCTTCACCGGCGGAGCCATCGCTGTGTTTTTGGTGAGCGCCTAGACCGGACAGGAAGTCATTATCCGTGGCAGGTTTACCACTCGCAATTCTTAGCCGTTTTTAAACAGCTGGTCTCCAGTTTGATGTAGACGGAAACAAAAGGGAAGAATAAGTTAGCCCTCATATTAGAGTACAGTATGAATACAATTAAATTGTTGTACATCTTTAGCCGGATTTTCCGGAGTGTTATCGTCCCTTAAACTAAATAACGAGTAAGACGAAGCCCATATTTTGATTATAAATTCTGATATATTATCATCTTGGCCCCCATGGGGTGGATGTTCCCGTTCTTAATTACATGTTTTTTTTGCAGTCATTTTAGCAGACGCTTTTATCCAAAGCGACTTACAATTCAGATTCTATCACGCTTCTACACCGTAGGCACAGCTACAGGAGCAATTTTAGGGTTAAGTGTCTTGCTCAAGGACACATCGACATGCGACTAGCAGAGCCGGAGCCGGGGATCGAACCGCCGACCCTCTGATTTAACAAGTATTTTAGCACAACTAGCTGGACATGCTAATGTGTGCAGCTGACGTTTGCATATGCTTTTTGCTTTCGGCAAAAATAAACAAGACTCTAATTCTTGAGACACCAGTTTTTACCCCCTGAAGAGTCCAATAGATTTCACTGAGCTATGATTGGACCATCCCAGTGAGGGTTTAGCGAAGGGGTCAAATCTCACCACATCTCTCTTTTCTTCTCCCCCCCCTCTCGCCTGGCCTCTGTCTCTTCCAGGTGACCTGCGTGATCAACAACTTCCAGCAGATGCTGCCAAGCCCTCCCCCGCTGCGCCCCCAGCGCCCCGAGTCCGTGCTGGGCATGCAGATGGTGACGCTGCCCTGTGTGGAGAGTCCACTCGAAAAGTTAAGTGGCCCTCAGGTAAGGGGCGGGGGTGGGTGCGAGGCACGCCTGCGCTCATTAAAGAGGGGCTGAGATGCACACCCCTTGTCTCTTACCTTGAATTCGTTCCCCCCCCCCAAGAAAAACCCCAGATCAAATCCCCAAACATGCATGCTCCAAGTCCCACCTGCACCCCCAGTACCAAAGAAAGCACCCAGGTGAATCCTCTAAATCTCCGAGCCTTGTCGTAGGCCGATAACATTTGTTCTAAAGGTGTGAAATGAGCCGCGGTTTAATTTCAGACAGAACAAAGATGTTTTACGTCGTAAAAGAGGCGCTGCCTCGCTGCTAAACTCCACGCTGTTACACATTTCCATCTTATCGGGGATTTAGAGAGTCACTTATCTCTTTGGGGTGACTCAGCAGTTTGGCTGACACACTCAAGGTTTTAATCTCCCATTCGGATGTAAAGCAAATGTAAAAAAGCTCAAGGGTCCCCCTCGACATTTCGACGGTGCGCGTCTCCTAAAAAGATTTCATCTGGCGAGTGTTTAGGGAAATGTCTTGCGTCCTCTGTGGTCTGTCTCCGTCACTAACCCTCACCTGACTGCCTCTTTTCCTCTGTCTCCCACCTTGCCTCTTTCCTCTCAATCTGCTCCCTTGTCCCTCACTCTCCCTCCAGCATCCTGCGCTCTCCTCCTGCCCACCTTACAACGCCTACGTCCAACCATTCTAACCAACCTTGAACCCTTCTTTCCGCCCGCCATCGCCACCCCCCCACACTATCTCCGTCATCTGTTGCCTTATTTCTGTTTCCTGCTCGGTTTCGCCTGTGTTCCCCCAACTCCCCTACCTACTCCTCCTCTTCCTCCTCATCAAGCGCATCACTCTTGATTATTCTTTTCTTCACTTTTCTCTCTCTGCCCCCATCCTCTCCCTCTCTCTCTCTTTCTCACTCCTCTCTTTCCCCTGCAGACTCCGCGTGGATCTCCGTTCACCGATGTCACATGACCATCAGCCCTATCGGTTCCCCGCCACCCCCGATGTCCTCATACCGTCTCGCTCCATTTCCAGCGAAGTCTAGACCAGCCGGAGCAGCACTCGCCGCGCTGCGCCGCCCATCCGGCCGGGCGGTACGCGACGCTGCACCGCTCCTACTCCACGCAGGTCTAGACCTCTCACGCGATCCAGCACACACACACACACCATCCTGCTGCCCTCTCAAACCCCCGGGGAACCGATAGGCAAACTCTTCAAAGACTTTTCTCTCTGCTAGACATTCAGCACAGAGTCAGGAACAGCTTCCTTTTTTTTCATTTTGTATAAGTCTTTTCTCGGTTGTGTGACGCTCGCTTTCGTCTTCAGTGGCGTGCTCTCTTAAAGGAAAAACACTTCAAACCGTGACTACTGAGAATGTCCACTGCTTTTTTTTTTAAACATCATGAACGAGGTCTCGCCCGTTCGAAGGAGGCTAAACGTGACGGGGAACTCCCCGTGTGACTTCGCCGTCTGCTGTCAGGAGGGGACGTGTTGGACCAAAGAAGCCCTCTGAAGGATGCGCGTGCTGCTGAGATTTAAACCCTTCAAAACAAAAATACCCTACATCCTTTTAGCAAGCCATATACACACACACACACACGCACACACACAAACACACTCGCACAGTAGTGTGAGTAGCAGTGCCCTTGTCAGATGCGCATGCGATTTACACAGATCAAAGAATCCATTTCATATCTCTCAGCAGAAGCACCAGACAATAGCAAACAGGATGAAAGTACAGACAAGATCGTCACTTGGCTATTTTCTTCTTTTTTTCTTCTTCTTCTCTCAGATGGTTGCAGCTTTGCCCAAAAAAAAAGAAAAAAGAAAGAAAACTGATGGGAAATGCAAACACATTTGATAAGACAAAGCCGAGCTCCCAACTGCAGGTTGGCATATAAAGTGCATCACATTCGGGAGCAAATATTTGTTCAGTTTTGTATTCTTCTGAGACGAGGAGCTTTCATACAAAACACTTCCTGTAATGCCAACAGACCTTTTTTTTTTATCTCTCGCACGGCATCGCTCACACTGAACTGGAGTTTTCTTTCTAGCCGAATCCTGGTAAAAGACGATGCGACGAACTGGCCGAGTCGTGTAACTATTGTGATTCATTTCTGAGATTTTATCAACAGATTTATTTATTGACATGTACATACGGTGTGGTTGCAGTGAACGCTCCATGTGGCGTGACAGTTTTGCTGACTTTGATTTGCACACTCCCTGAAATCCATGTTTTTGTTTGTTTTTTTTCATTCACCCTTCTCCCCACACATCTTTTTTTACAACCTCTGTTTAGCGTGCTGTGAAATGTTTCCCTCTGCTGGACGACACACACACACGCACACACACACACACAAGAGTAAAGTCCAGTTTCACAGAGCACATGCGTATTCAAACACCTTCAAAAGCACACACATGCACAATCTCACACACACACACACACCTTAATCCCCTTTCTAACATTGAAACCTGCTTGTATGATGTTGTACATCAATCTTTTTTGTATTGAGAGTGGGATTTTTACACAAGCATCACCAACACTAAGTCTAGAGATTTTGGGGGGGGGGGGGGGGTATTGTATGTATTGCGATGATAGAGAACCGTGCGTATGAAGGTGCTGAACTGCTCTGGACCAACAGCGGTTTCAAAACACCGGATGACTCACTCCTTTGGCCTCTGGGCCGAGTTAAAAGTCACGGTCTATAAGACGCTGTGTGTTCGTTAGGTTATGAACTCCAAGCCCTTTCTGTTTGGAATTCTCATGTGAGCATAAACGGTGGATGTGAACCACTTTTCATGTCAAATCTCCGGACGCGTTCGCGGTCTCGTGTTCAGCAGACGGCCCAACGTAAAAGTTGACGAAGCTAGCATACGGTGAGCTAACGGTGATGCGACAAGTCAAAGCAGCACTAAGTGAGTCAAGCTGTGAACGCAGCACGTCCAGCAGACACGGAGCAACATGAGCGTTCTTTTGGAGTCATGTTTCTATACTCCGGTCCCACCAACTTATGAGAGCAATATCTGGCTCTTTAGCTACTAAATAAGAGTGCGTTTCGAGCCGCCCTATTTCTGTCCGAACCAGTCTCGGGTCTGAGAGAGTAGTAACCTAAAGCACTGTGTCACCCTGTCACGCAACTGTTGTTGCCATGTTTACAGCTCGGTGACGAAATTAACAAACTCATAATTTGTATGTATTTTTACACAATATTTTCAGTCAAAGGAACCTTGAGCACCACGTCAATTAGGCCGAACCCGACCCGAGCTCCATTTGTTAATGTTAGTCCGAACACCGTGTCGGGTCTCCGCGCTCCGCACTGCGAAATGCTCCACCGCTTTCAACAACTATCAGCTAACTTTATCCGTCTGTCGTTTGGTGCTAATAAACGTATCGATTAACCGCTTTAAGAAATGTAATCTATAAGCTGTGTGGTTTTGTTGGAAGTCTCTGGAGTCCCCACATTTCTTTTATAATCTTGTTAGCGCAAGATAACGTTAGCTAACACGTCCTGACCAAAAATCACTTAATGCTGCTTTAATATCCATGTTGTATTTTTCTTAGCTGGCCTAATGTTGCCTTTGTTGACTTTTACATTTGGCTGTGTGAGCTGAACGGGACAAAAAAAAAGGGAAAAATTGCATTCGCGTCCACAATTATTATTATGTTTTTTATACGTAAAAAAAAGTTTCGGGACTTCTCTCTGAGCCGGGAAGTTCCTTGTTGTTCTGACATTTCTACCGAGCCACGACCACAACAAGTGGTTGTATGTGCAGCACAGCCATCAAGAGTATGTGCAGAATGACCCTCACACATTATCCAGCGTCCGATAAGCTCTGTTCTTGGAAAAGATTCTACCGAGCGTCTTCAACTTTGACTCGTCATAAAAACAGTGACCTTCTGGCGAGTCAGCGCACAAATACCATGCACCTGCAAAGTTGTGAATTTGAGTCAGACTCATGACCTTTGCCGCATGACGTCCCTTCGTGTCATATCCGTCCCGTTTGCTTTCCAGCCCTCAGTGTCCCGATGAAGCAGAAATGCCTTAAAAACGAATCCTAATGGAAATCAAACAGAACATCAAGTCCATTACATTGACAGCTTGTAAATGTGTGTGTTTTCAGTGCGAGCTTCTCATCCGCGCAAAAATTCTCAGCAACTCTTGACCAATTGCAGTCGGTCGGTATCTGAATCGGTGTTCACTGTGTGAGCGCTGCTTCGGCACAAGGAATGCTCCAATGAGATGCGAGCACCAAAAAGGGAAAACGCAGTGCAGAAAGAGTCCGATTTCTCTTCAGGTCAAAATAACGTTCTCCTCCAGGTTCAAACCGTCAAACACCGCGGCTCTCCTTTCCTCTGAAGTCTGCCGCGACTCATGTTTTACATCAAAGAACAAACACGCTGCGGTTGACTGACGTGAAATTTAAAAAAAAAAAGCTCCTTTCAGATCTGCAACTCTGAGGGAGAAACACGTTTTCCTTTGATCCTGTTGCAGCAAACCCTCTGTTTTGTAAAGATGTGTGTGACGAGAACAATAAATGGATATTGCAATAACAAACGCTGTCAGCGTGCACCATGTGTCATTTGGTGGGATGTGTTCATCTTGTGTCACAAACAGGTGTACAGTGTGTGTGTGCGTGTGTGTGTGTGTGAGGAGAAGAGACTTAACAATCACTAATCACTGAGTTTTATTTTGGCCAATCAGAACTCACCTGGGTTCATCAATACTGACTCTGAAGTGCAGCATCTGTGTGCTTGTTAGTATTTAATTATTGAGCATTCTGGATTTTTTTATATACTGTATGTTTTGCCAATTCTGCATGATTAAAAGATGCTCTTGGTTGCATTATGGGTATTGTAGGATCCAGTGTTTTTTTTTAGTTTGACCCACACTGGGAACTTAAAGTCAGATATGTGGGCCCCTGCTCTCTCCACTCCTTTGCTTACTGCTATACTGATCACAAGATCCGCTCACTAGCTTTTTACTTTCTTCATCCCCAGGATGAGGACCGTCCTCGTCTCCATTTGCTTCCACTTTTAGGTCATGTGATTACATCTCGGGCCATCTCCATGACAACTGAGCAAACTTTATCTGCTGATGGAGACCATGTGCTTCCAAATAAATCTAGTAAGTGGATCTTGTAAGATTTTTATAATCAAAGCTATTACTATCCTTGTTATTGTTAAAATCTATTTCCGGTGATGGATTGAGTACTCGGATCCTTTACTAAAGTGAAAATACAACAATGTGAGAATACTCCAGTGCAAGTCCTGCATTCAAAATCCCATAAAGCGCCGTACAGTATTAGCAGCAAGATGTAAAATATAAGGAAGTGCTTGTTTTATATATAAACATCGAACAAAAAGTTCGGAAATTAGTGTTTGGTAGATTATTTCTCTGCTGTAACGATGCTTCTTGGCAATACATCTTATACCGTTGAAAAGCCTGTTTATTTACCTTTCAAACGGTCCCCCATTTGTAAGGAACATGCATTTCTGGGATGAGCAGCACAGCTGAGTATGTGGGTTGCGCCCATGAAAAATTTGCCAAATCTTCTCTGCCAATGCCAAACAGTTTATTCTGCTGTTGCTATCGACCATCAGGCCCGTTTGCGCTAGTGTCGGCAACACCTGCACTGGAACCTGAACATGTGGAGGAACGTTATGTTCAGCGATGAGTCCAGATTCTGCCTAAGGAAGTTGGATCGTAGGGTCAAAGTGTGGAGAAGACGGGGAGAACGCTATGCTGATTGCTGCACCGATAGAGTAACACCTTTTGGTGGAGGCAGTGTGATGGTGTGGGGCGGCATCTCCATCACTGGAAAAACGAGGCTTGTCTTAATTGGAGGCAATCTCAATGCAGAGACATATCGAGATGAGATTCTGCAACCAGTGGCAATCCCATTTCTCCACAGTCTGGGACCGAACTCCATCCTCTAAGATGAAGACGCTCGCCCCCACAGAGCGGTTTATCAGAGACTACCTCCAGAATTTGGGAGTAGAGAGGATGGAATGGCCTGCCAACAGTCCTGACCTCAACCCAAGTGAACACTTGTGGGATCAGCTTGGGCGTGCTGTTCGTGCTAGAGTGACCAACACACAAATCCTGCTTGAGGAGTGGAATGCCATCCCACAGCAGTGTGTGAGCAGGCTGGTGACCAGCATGAGGACGAGGAGCCAGGCTGTTGTGGCTGTGTATGGTTCTTCCACACGCTACTGAGGCTCCTGTTTGTTAAATGAATGAATTGTAAAATTGCCAATATGTCTTGTTTCTTCCTTGTTACTGATAGACTTCAATCATCCAATCCACCAAACACCACCAAACAAGAGTCAATGGCAGAATAAGCTGTTTGGCATTGGCAGAGAAGATTTGGCAAATTTTTCATCGCCGCAACCCACATACTCAGCTGTGCTGCTCATTCCAGAAATGCATGATCCTTACAATTGGGGCACCGTTTGAAAGGTAAATGAACAGGCTTTCCAACGGTATAAGATTTATTGCCAAGAAGCATTGTTAAAACAAAGAAATAATCTATCAAACACTAATTTCCAAACTTTTTGTTCGATGTTTATATATATATATATATATATATATATATATATATATATATATGACGTTATTAGATTGTTAATACTGATACATCAATGTGTGAGCAGCATTTTACCGTTGTAGCTGGTTTAGGGGTTTGGTCCAAAGTGTCACATGATAAATCTGAAGGGTCGTGAAATGATTAACGGAAGAGGAAAGAATCTCTCTGTCTTTTACTTGCACTCGAATCATGTTGTTGTAATAAATCTTTGCTGGAGGTGGAACTTGACATCTGACACGTGACAAGGAGCCTCAGCCACAAGACAAAAAGGTAAGCACCGGATTCATCTTTAACGATGACTCGTATTATACGAGTGTAATATGTATCGTATGTAAACATCTTAATCTGTGAGGTACCTTGTAACCCTAGCTGTCAAATAAATGCAGTGGAGTAAAGTTGTATCGAATGGATACACTTAGTAAAGTACAAGTACCTCAATTGTTGAGTAAATCCAATTTCCACTACTGTCATCATTGGCGCTCCAGTGATTTGCAGTACATAAAGTTGAGAAACAGATTTGAAAAAGATAAAAATCGATGCGGCAGAGGCCGAGATGTTCTGACTTTAGTCAGATTATAGAATGTATCAGGTTTCAAAAACACATTTTACACTTGATAATGACATCTTTGAGGTTATATTCTCATCATATAGTACTCTCCACGAGTGGTAAACTCACTGGAGACCTACAGTATGACCCGAAGCATAAAATAGAAAGTTAAAAACAGAAGTACTCCCCATCCTGACCCACCATGTGTGAGGTTAAGCAGGCTCAGCACTGCCATCATGTGGTTTAATGTGTTCTCACCCACCACACGCCGTAGATGGATCCGAATATTGGTAATGAAGCACGAATACGAGGGGAGATTTTTAATATTGCAGCATATTGAATATGCAACATGATATAACGCTCCTTTGCGGATTATTAAAAAACAAGTTGAATTGTAATTTATGCAGGTTAGGAAATAACGAGATGAAACTAATTTGCATGAGATTTAAAAGATAAAAAGCAACATCCACTCTCACTTTTCTGTCCACTGACTCTAACACACCAGCCTGTTCGGAACCTCCACATGACTCCTCCTGTCAGGGTTATGCATTTGCAGGTTAAATCCACAAGATGGCAATGCACATCATAGACATGTGCTTGCATAAGTTTTGAAAGGGGGGGGCTACCGAGACACAATCCCAACCCAGCACTCATCTTTTCAGAACATCAGAGAGACTTCTCAAGCTGTGTCACGAAATGAAGGGGAAACAATGCAAGCAGCTAATGAGAAGATGTGCACCTGTGTACCGAATGAGACGTAACGAGCTCCATTTTCTTAATGTCACAGATAATGGAAGGAATTACTTATACAACTTCGTTCTGCATGCTAGATTTCCATAAGCGGTGCCTCTTTGACTCGTTTTTTTGGGGAATTTGCAGCCATAAAACACACAGAGAATTACGGCGATGTGCTCAAAGAAACCTTACAGTACAGCTGACACTAATTGGAGCCGGCTTAATTCTGCAGACTTTCGAGAGAAGCACCTGCATCTCCTGGAAAAAAAAACTCCGCTTGACTGAATTTAAACGACCACCAAACATCCCAGTCAGACAGGTTCAAAGGATGATGCTGTTTCCTCAGTGAAATCCCACCTGCAGCGTCTTTCTGCCTCTTTTTTTCTGTCTTTCTCTCGTCCATACAGGCCTTCATTAGTGTGGGCAGCACAACTCCCTCTGTTAGTTTGTTGGGAATTTTAATTCCACCGCGTTCCTCCCCGCATTCCAATCACAGAGGGCTTTTCTGGTAAATCTTGGTTATTTTATTTTTCAGCCGGCGTGCTGGTTGTGAAGGTGAATGTGATCAGTGTGACCAAACGCTTCAATAGCTGAGTGGTTTGACAGACTGCGAATGAAGGTGCATGTGAGGGGAAGAAGCCACAGAGAAGGGAAAAAAAGCACCAGAGAATAAGATGGAAGTGATATTTCTTAGAGAGTAATCATATTCTGCCTCTGTGCAAATGAAAATGTGAGATATTATGGTCTTTCTCTGAGTGCATTACTGTGAGTGGTGTATGAGACAGCATTTTAGAAGAGGACCATAAAGACTAAGCACCATTAAATGAAGATGGTGGGTAGATGTATAGAGTCAATGTCTTTACATTCAACTGAGTAAAAGTGTATGACATGGAGTAATCTGTGGGTTTATCTGCTCTAACGCAAGCTGTGATTGTTAGCATGTCCGGCTAAGTAGCTAATACCTACGGTACGGTGGCATACGAGCTCCAAGTTACTTCATGGCTGTTTGTAACTTGTAACCCCCAAACTAATGTGGGGTTACAACTTACATTACAACATTTAAAGAAAAAAAAGCCCTGTTCACAATGTGCACCGTGTTAGTATTTTATCGCTGTTTGGACCCGTGGCCTGGATGCTAACGGAGTTTAAGCTAACGATTGTAGCTCTCTCAGTTCACACTCCAGAACCCCAGCACAATTGTTACACAACGGCGTTAAGTTTGCCAGACACCTTGGTTTGTCAAGTCATCATCCTAAAAGTCTTTTCTCTTGTAATATTAAAGCTGAATATATACTGTTTGAAAATAGGTAGAAGCGGCCCTGAACTTATATTTTTTGGTTGTCATACCACACTGCAATACAGCGCTGTTTCTTTATTTCCATGTCTTCTAGATGCTATAGTGAGGATGATGACTTTTTGCGTCTTTAGCCACAGCCTTTTATCTCGTATGTTATTTAGTTATTTATTATTTATATATAAGTATTATATATTAGTTATTTATCTTGTTATTTACAAGATTCTTTTTTTAAAACAAGTCAAAATTAAAGCGTTAGCTAGGGACAGCAGCTCATGTAGCTAACGTCAGCCTAATTAGCTAGCTAGCTGTAGTTGATAAAATCTGCTAACGACAGTTGACATTTTGTCTGCTAGCCGGCTACAAATGATGCTAAAATACATGCTTTTGTC